GATCCGAACCCTCGGCGGGAGCGCCACCGCGCTCCCAAGTGGCGCACTGTAGCAGTGCTCCACCGGGCCGGCCCCTAGTTTTATTTTTCTACATATGGATATCCAGTTTTCCCAGCACCACTTATTGAAGAGGCAGTCCTTTCCCCAATGTAAGCTTCTGTTGCCCTTGTCAAATATCAGTTGGCTATAAGTTTGTGGGTTGATTTCTGGGTTCTGTATTCTGTTCCATTGGCCCGAGTGTCTGTTTTTATACCAGTACCATGCTATTTTGTTTACTATAGCATTGTAGTATAATTTAAAGTCATGTAGTGTTATGCCTCTCGCTTTATTTTATTTTACTTTTTGCTTGGGATTGCTTTGGTTATTTGGAATATTTTGTTGTTTCATATGAATGTTAGGATTGTTTTTTCTATTTCCGTGAAGAATGTCATTGGTATTTTGATGGGATTGCATTAAATCTGTAGATCACTTTGGGTTGTATGGACATTTTTCACAATGTTAATTCTTTCAGTCCAAGAAAATGAAATATCTTTTTATCTTTTTGTGTCCTCTTTAATTTCTTTCAGCAGTGATGTGTAGTTCTCATTGTAGAGATCTTTCACCTCCTTGGTTAAATCCTTTACTAGGTATTTTATTTGGGGGGGACTACTGTAAATGGGCTAGCTTTCTTGATTTCTTTTTCTGCTAGTTCATTATTGGAGTATGTATTAGTCCATTTTTGCTGCTTATAACAAAATACCTGAAACTGGGTAATTTATTAAAAAAATGAAATCTATTGCTTACAGTTTCTGAGGCTGGGAAGTCCAAAGTCCATCTGGCGGCAACAGTGACCCAGTGGTCTCACATTGCCAGATGGTAGAAGCAGAGAGAGCAGAGAGAGAAGGAGAGACATACTCTCTTCTTTTAAAGGCCTCAGAACCGTGTCCCTGACCACCATTTTTAATCCATTTACTACTGCATGGTCCTACAATCTAATCACCTCTTCAAGGCTCCACCTTTTAATTACCATAATAGTATTTCACACCCTCTTAACAGTCACAGTGGGGGCCAAGTTTCTAATACATAGAACTTGGTGGACACAATTCCAGTTCCAGTGAGTTTGGGAGAGACATAATTCAGTCCACTACAGAATATGAAACCTCAACTGATATTTGTGTGTTGATTTTGTATCCTGCAACAGGGACAATTTTACCTCATCTTTTCCAGTCTGGAAGTCCTTTATTTCTTTCTCTTGCCAGATCTCTCTGGCTAGTACTTCTAATAGTCTGTTAAATAGGAGTGGTGAGAATGAGCATCCTTGCCTCATTCCCATCCTTAGGCATGGCTTTTATTGTGTTGAGATACTTTCTTTCTATACATAATTTGCTGAGAATCTTTATCATAGAGGGATGTTGAGTTTTGTCAAATGCTTTTCCTGCATCTATTGAGATTATCATATGATTTTGTCCTTGATTTTGTTGATGTGATGTATCACATTTTTTTGACTTGTGTATGTTGAAACTTGCATCCCTGGGATGAATCCCACTTAATCATGGTGTGTATAATTTTTTGATATGTTGCTGTATTCTGTTTGTTAATTTTTTTGTGGATTTTTGTAGCTATGTTCATCAAAAATACTGGCCTGTAGTTTTCTTTTGTTGTATCTTTGTCTCATTTTGGTATTAGGGTGATGCTGGCTTCAAAGAATGAGTTTGGGAGACCAGGCTCTGTTTCAGTTTTTTGGAATAGTTTGAAGAGAATTGGTATTAACTCTTCTTTAAATGTTTGGTAGAATTCAGCAGTAAAGCCATTCAGCCCTGGGCTTTTCTTTGTTGGGAGACTACTCATTATTGCTTCTATCTCATTGCCTGTTACTGGTCTGTTCAGATTTTCTATTTCTTCTTGTTTCAGTAGTTTGTATGTGTTCAGAATTTGTCCATTTCCTCCAGGTTTTCAAATTTGTTGGTGTATAATTGTTTTTAATAGTCTCTACTGATTCTTCTTGTTTCTATAGTATCAGTTGTGATGTCTGCTTTTTCATTTTTAAGTTTTGTTATTTGGATCTTCTCTCTTCTTTTTTTAGTTAGCCTAGCTAATGGTTTGTCTATTTTATTTATCTTCTCAAAAAAACAACTTTTTGTTTCGTTGATCTTTTGTATTGTTTTTGGCCTCCATTTCATTTAATTCTGCTTGAATCTTAATTATTTATTACTGTACACTAATTTTAGGATTGGATTGTTATTGTTTTTCTAGTTCTTTGAGATATAGCATTAGGTTGTTTATTTGAAATCTTTTTATTCTTTTGATGTAAGTGTTTATTGCAACAAACTTCTCTCTTAGTACTGCTTTTGCAGTGTCCCACAGGTTTTGGTATGATGTGTCATTATTTTCATTAGTTTGAGAAATTTTTATTTCCTGTTTAATTTCTTGTACCCATATGTCATTCAGGAGCATGTTGTTTAATTTCCATGTGTTTGCATAGTTTCCAGAGTTTTGCTTGTTATTAACTTCTAGTTTTAATCCATTGTGATCTGAGAAGATACTTGAAATAATTTCAATTTTTTAAAAATTTGTTGAGGCTTCATTTGTGATCTTTCTTGAGGAATGTTCCATGTGCTGATGAGAAGAATATATATTCTGTGGTTGTTGGATGAAATGTTCTGTAGATATCTGCCAATTCCAATTGGTCTTAAGTGTGTTTAAATCCTGTGTTTCTCTGTTGATTTGTTGCTGAGATGATCTGTTTAATGTTGATAGAGGGGTGTTTAGGTCCCCAATTATTATCATATTTGGGTCTATCTCTTTCCTTAGAGATATGTCTGGGTGCTTTGATGTTGGGTGCATATATATTTTTGATTTTTTTATGTCATCTTGCTGGATAGATTCCTTTATCATTATATAGTGGCCTTCCTTGTCTCTTTTTATAGTTTTTCATTTAAAGCCTATTTTATCTGATATAAGAATAGCTATTCCTGTTCATTTTTGATTTCCACTTGTGTGGTATATCATTGTTTATCCCTTCACTCTTACCCTGTGTGTGTCTTTACAGGTGAAGTGAGTCTCTTATAGACAGCATAGAGTTGGGTCTAGCTTATTAATCCAATCAGCTTGTATGGGTTTTTCGAGGGGAGAATTTAATCTATTTACATTTCGATTATTACCGAAAGGTATTGTCTTATTTCTGGCACTTTATTTTCATTTGGATGTTTTAAGTATCTTTTTTTTCTTTCTTTTCCTTTTACTGTTTGATTCAGTGTTTGTCAGTTTTTGGAGGTGGTAAGATACAGTTTTTTTCACATTCTCATTTGCATTTTTAATCTACCAGTGGGTTTTGTTCTTTCTTGTGTACTTATAGTGGTTAACTATTGTGTTTTAGATTCCAGATGCAGGACTCCCTTGTAGATTTCTTGTAGGGATGGTTATATGGGGGTGAACTCTTGTAGTTTTTTGTTTGTCTGGGAATTACACTATTTCTCTTTTGTTTCTGAAGAATAATCTTGCTTGATATAGTATTCTTGGCTGGCAGTCTTTGTTTTTTTTTTCTTTTAGTGTTTTGAATATATCATCCCATTCTTTTCTGGCCTGTAAAGTTTCTGTTGAGAAGTCTGCTGTTTGTCTTATGGAGACTTCCTTACAGGTGACTTGACATTTTCCTCTTGATGTTTTTAGGGTTTTCTCTTTGTCTTTGATTTTTGACAGTTTGACTATTATGCACCTTGGAGAGGACCTTTTTGGATCGAATCTGTTTCAGGATCTTTGACCCTCCTGAATCTGAAGGTCCGTGTGTCTCCCTACACCTGGGTAGTTTTCTGCTATTATTTCTTTGAATATGTTTTCAGTGCCTTTCCTTTCTCATCCTCTTCAGGAATACCTGTGTTTCAGATGTTTGTACACTCAATGTTGTCTGCTATCTCACTTACATTTTATTTATTTTTAAAAATTCTTTTTCTTTTTTTTTTGTCCACTTATTTCAAAGACACTGTCTTCAAGATCAGAGATTTTTTTCTTCTGCCTACTCTAGCCTGCTGCTTAAGCTCTCTGTTGTGTTTTTATTTCATTGAGTTTCCTTCAGTTCCATGAGTTCCGCTACATTTTTTGTTAAAGTATTAATCTCCTTTTAATTTCCTCCTTCATACACTGGATAGTTTTGTTCAGTTCACTGTGTTGTCTAACTGCATCTTCTTGTATCTCATTGAGTTTCCTTAAGATTTTTTACTCAGATTTCCCTTTCAGTTATTTCAAGGGTTTCCTGCTCTATGGGGTCTGGTACTTGAGAATTATTATACTCCTTTAGTGGACTCATATTTCTAGTGTCTCTGGGTTGAGGTCTGGTCATCTGGAAGAGCAGTTGCTTCTTCTATTGCTCTTTTTCCCTGGACTCCATTCGTTACCCTTCTTGTGTCAATGCAGTTGAGTGGCCAGTGGTCTGCCTGCACAGCAGCAGTGGCTGCTGTAGTTGCTGCTGTGGTAGCGTGCTGCCCTTGGGGTAACAGTGGTCGTGGAGGTGGCTTTGGCATGCCACTTGCATGGTAGTGGTGGCTCCAGCAGCAGCAGCAGTGGGCTACCTGCATGATCATGGTGGGTGCCTGGTATTGCTGGTGTGGTGATGACTACAGCAGTGACAGTTGCAGCAGTCCCTGACTTGGCTGTAGCATTCATAGTGGTGGCCTGTGCAGCTATGATGTCTGCAGTGACAGCAGGGTTACCTGACAGCAGTGGCAGTGGTATCAGTGGCTGCAACTGCCTTCCTGGCATCTGTAGTGTCCTGTGGCAGTGGGGCCAGTGGAGGCAACAGTGGCTACAACTGCCTCCCTTGTGTTTGTGGTGTCCACAGCAACAGTGGGATTACCTTCTGGAGGTGGCAGGGGTCCTGGGGTCTTCAACTGCTTCCCTCACATCTGCGGTATCCTTGGCAGTATCCTCAGCAGCAATGGCGTTATCTTGTGGTGGCAGCAGTGGTGCCAGTGGCTGCAGCCATCTTCCTTGAGTCTGCAATGTCATTGGTGGCAGGGGGTTGCCTCATGGGGGTGAGAGCATCACTGGTGGCAGTAACTCCCTCCCTCACATCTGCAGTGTCCTTGGCAGCAGTGGGTTACTTCATGGCAGTGGCAGCAGCACCAGTGGCTGCAGCTGTCTCCCTCACAGCTTCGGTGTCTTTGGCAGCAGTGGGGTTAACTCATAGAGGCAGCAATGGTGATAGTAGTTGCACCCGTCTCCCTCATGTCTGCAGAGTCCATTGCTACAGTGACAGGCAACCTACAGGACTCTGCTCCGTGGGGAGCTGCTCTGTGATAGGTGGTGGTTCTGGGACTGGACAATGGCTCTGGTGACTGTGGCAGCAGTGGAGGTGTGCCCATTTCTATCTTTTGTTGGAGGAATGCACCCTGGGCACCTATAGTTTTCCATCTTCCGAAGTCCTCCAAATAATAGACATTCTAACTGTAGTGAGATGACATCTCATTATGGCTTTAATTTATATTTGTCTGGCGATTAGTGATGTTGAGCATTTTTTCATGTGCCTGTTGGCCATCTGCATGTCTTCTTTAGAGAACTGGCTGTTCAGGACCTTCACTCATTTTGTAATTGGGTTATTTGGTTTTTTGCTGTTGAGTCATTTTAGTTCCTTATGTATTGTGGATATTAGCCCCTTTTCTGATGTGTAGTTGTCAAACACTTTCTCCTATTCTGTAGGTTGTCTCTTTACTTTGTTGACAGTGTCCCTTGCTGTGCAGAAACTTTTTATTTTGATGTAGTCTCATTCAGGTATTTTTGCTTTAGTTGCCTATTCCCATTTTGTGTAGAATTTCTCCTATGTTTTCTTCTAGTAGATTCGCAGTTTGGGGACTTAAATTTAGGTCTTTGATCCATCTTGACTTGATTTTTGTGTATGGTGAAAGATATGGGTCTAGTTTTAATCTTCTGCATGTGGATATCCAGTTTTTGCAGAACCATTTGTTGAAAAGGCTGTCCTTTCCCCATTCTGTATTTTTAGCACGTTTGTTGAAAACCAGTTGGCTCTAAGTACATGGGTTTATTTCAGGGCTCTATTCTATTCCATTGGCCAATTTGTCTGTTTTTATGCCAGTACCATGTTTTTTGATTACTATAACTTTATAGTATAATTTAAAGTGAGGAAATGAGGTACCTCCAACTTTGTTCTTTTTGTTCAAGATTGCTTTTGCTATGTGGGTTCTTTTGTGGTTCCATACAAATTTTAAGATCATTTTTTCTATTTTTGTGAAGAATGTCATTGGTATTTTGATAGGGATTGCATTGAATGTGTAGATTGCTTTGGGTAATATAGACATTTTGATGATGTTAATTCTTCTGACCCATAACATGGGATATCTTTCCATTTATTTGTATCCTCTTAATTTTTTTTCACCACTGTTTTATAATTTACATTGTAAAGATATTTTACCTCTTTGATAAGTTTATTCATAAATATTTCATATTTTTTTGGTAGCTATTGTGAATGGGATTCCTTTCTTGATTTCTTCTTTGGCTATTTCATTGTTGGCATATAGGAAGGCTGCTGATTTTTGTGTGTTGATTTTGTATCCTGCTACTTTTGTATCCTGTTGATTTTGTATCCAAATTAGCTATTGAAGGAATGTACCTCAACACAATAAAAGCCGTGTATGACAAACCCACAACCAATATCATACTGAATGGACAAAAATTGGAGTCTGTTCTCTCAGATCTGGAGCAAGACAAGGACACCCACTTTCCCACCTTTTATTCAGAATTGTACTAGACTGCCACCTTTTGAGGTGGCTTGCAGGGGATTAGAAGCAATGTTCCTAGAGGAGAGCCAGGTTTCAGGTAGAGCAAGAAGGTGAAGGAAATATTCAGAGGTAAAGTTGGGGATTTAAGAAAATTTGCTGATAGACTAAGGAATTTTGTTCAGTAGCTAAAGTAGAAATATTTTCTAAATATATCTTCTTATAAAAGATAATGAAAATATTGAGCATTTAAATTGAATTAATTTGAGTGTAAAATACTGTCACTATCTTTATGTTGATAAAATGTGATGTTTCCTTTTAAATATGTTAAAAATAACATGGTAGTTCAATAGAGCTTTACGATTTAAAGAAAGTATTTTTAAACATGGGAAGTTTTTATGTTCTTTCCATTGTTTTAATTATGTTAGCATCAATGCACTACTAAGCTAAATGTTTAAAATATATTTGCTTTTAATACTATAATAACAAATTTGAGTGCATAGGTTAACACTTTATCATTGTTTGTGGCTCTATGCTTAAATATGAGAATGCTTAAAAAACTTAATAAAAAATAATCTGTATGTGTTTTCTGCTTTTTGCAGGACAGATTTTGGATAATAGCACAAAAGACCTTAAGTTTGCATTCACTAACCTAACACCATTTACAATGTATGATGTCTATGTTGCGGCTGAAACCAGCGCAGGAATTGGACCTAAATTAAATCTTTCAATATTCACTCCTCCAGATGGTAAGAACATCGCCTTTAGAGAGTTAATGAGATATTTTTGGCATGCTTGTGAATTTTATTGAATTGGTAAAACATATTAGAAGCAATTTGGTTTATATTTACTTAATTCATATTATTTCCTTATTAAATTCATTCTGGACATGTGTTCTTTAGAATATCAAGCCCATAGCATACTTCATAATAAAAGAGATCCAAGATCGAGCAAATTAGGAAATAATATATACTTATGAGTCTGTTGTAGATTCACAATGAGTTTTGGCAAAACTTCAAGAAGTCATAAAGTAAACAAACACATTTAACATTATTTAACCACAGTGTTTAATGTGCAGTATTTTTTTTTCTCACAAAACTAGTGTTCCTAGGAATCCTTGTATTCCCGATGCCTATAAAAAATGTTCCTAGGGGCCGGCCTGTGGCTCACTCGGTAGAGTGCGGTGTTGATAACACCAAGGCCATGGGTTCGGGTGTTCCTAGGAATCCTTGTATTCCCGATGCCTATAAAAAATATGTTTATAATCAAAAGGGTATTTTATGTAACTGAGGATTCCTGGTGGATGCATAACACAAATTTACCAGCATTTACTAAAATAATGAAAAAAAAAAGTTTGTCCTCGAGAAACTTTCTTATACGTATTTATTAAACATCATCATCAAACAAACAAACAAAAAACTAGTGTTCCTAGGAATCCTTGTATTCCCGATGCCTATAAAAAATATGTTTATAATCAAAAGGGTATTTCATGTAACTGAGGATTCCTGGTGGATGCATAACACAAATTTACCAGCATTTACTAAAATAAT